AACAAATCAATCAACCAGATTAACAATAATTCTGGAAAGAATATATCGATTCTCATAAATAAAGTAGACTAAGTAAAACTTTATAAACACAGAGAAGTTAATCGGAAAATTGATTCAAAAACCCTAATAGAGATTAGTTAGGGCAAAAATCACAGAGCAATGCATTTTACAAAGAAAAATCGTGTAGGTCAAAGATATAGAGTGAATCAATACAACTGGTAACATTGAAAACTCAGAATCGAAGCAAAAAATCAGAAAATCAGAGTTTCACATAAATCGACTAGGGTTTAAGTAACCTTTGCGTAAATCAGTCAAGAACACTAAAGGATAATAGATTAAACAATCAGAAAGACCTTGAGAAAATGACTTATAATGAACCCTAGCTTAGGAAAAAACGGAAAATCGGTTGAAAACCAGAAAACTTTCAAGGAAAACATGTGAAATATATTCGATTCATCTCAGATCTGAGAAGATTGGAGACCAAAAATTAGGGTTTTTAGAAGGTGCAACAGAGACGAGAGCATAGGCTTAGAAAATCATGGACTCGTAGCAAAATAAGAAAGGTTTCTTACTCATGGTCGAGCAAACGACCTGAAACAGGCAAAGAAATCGAAGGTGCAAACTAGACCGCCTAGGTCCCTTGAGATCTTCTCAAGGATCTAAGAAACTGATGAACCATAGTACGTAGGAGGCCAGTATAGGCCTGAGATGGCAAAGAAACATCATAGAACGGAGGGCTAAGCCGGTGACAGCGCCTGAGGATTAGGGTTTAGGTCTCAGAGAGAATGGAGAGAAGAGGATTCGAGGGCGGCTGTATGGAGAAAATGATTTAGGGTTAGGGGTCACTAGGAATAAAAAAGGAAAGGAGGAACGATGGCCGTTGATCACTGTGATCAACGGCCAGGATTAGAGGGGTTTGGGGCCGGGTAGAGGTCTCTAGGTTTGGAATGAGGTGGATTTGGGCCTAGTCATAGTGGGTTAGGTCCGAAAACTAGAGAAATTAAAAGGCTGTTAAATACCCAAATAATTGATAAAAAATATTTTATAAAAATAATCAACAATGAGAAAAAATAATTTTCATGCAAAAAGGTGCTTTAAAATAATTATTCAATATTTTCAAAATATAATGGACCAATTTCTGGTAAGATAATGCAGTGATGTATGCATGGGCTATAATTGCAAAACTATTACAATTGTAACCAAAGGTGTAAATCTGGCCATTTGTGAAATAATTTAAACTTAATATGGCTATAAATAACAAAATTAAATCAATGAAATATTATAGAGCCACTTGTGATGCAATTTTGTAATCATTTATATTAATAAAACACTAGAATAAATTAATTTCAAAATATAGAAATTATGAAAAAATATCAATTGATGCTAATGCATAGTTTTGAAAGTATATATGCATTTAATATTATAGGGAAAAATTGAGTATCAACATGAACGACGTGATACCGTACAATATGAGGAAGAATGCATCTCTATGCATATATGTCATGTATGCATGCCAATGCCATATATCCTAGTGATGAACCATATACTCACACTCTCCACTCATAAATACTCAACCACTCGGTACTGTATATGGCTCATACGGCCCAGGGAAGATTCATCCCGGAATATATACATCATTGATCATCAGTCACTCGGTACCGAGGAAGGTCAATCCGGCCCCATGGAGAAGATCCATCTCCAAGTATATATAAATGCTCAACCACTCGGTACTGTATATGGCCCATGCGACCCAGGGAAGATCCATCCAGGAATATATATATACATCACTGACCATCAGTCATCAGTACCGAGGAAAGGCCAATCCAACCCCATGGAGAAGATCCATCTCCAAGTCCAGGGAAGATCCATCCCTCAATATAATCAATCGCGCTTACAGGGGGTGTGTACAGACTCCGGAGGGGCTCCTTCAGCCCAAGCGCTATAACAAATCAATATAACCGCTACGACGTGCAACCCGATCCCATAACTGTCACTCATAATCAGGCTCTCGGCCTCACTGAGTCATCAATCTCTCCAATCTTACCCATGGGCTCACAATGTCATGAAAACTGACCCGGAACAATGATATGATGTATCAATAAGTAGCAACTGAGACTGAGATATGATATGAATGCATGAATATGACTGAGTACGAAATATTAATGAAATCAATGAGATGACAGCAAGAAACGACCACTATGGGTCCCAACAATATCGGCATAAAGCCTAAACATGATATCTAGCATGATGTACTGCTCAATTACTTTATCACATGGTGAAAATACAGATATCAACAAAGTAGTGCCATTATACAGTGCCATGAAGACAACAAAGTCACAATTCACAGGGTGCACGCCCACACGCCCGTCACTAGCATATGCGTCACCTTAACACCAATTATATAGTACATAATTCGGGGCTTCATACCCTCAGCACTATGTTTAGAAGAGTTAATTATCTTAAACAAGCCGATTCCACTACCGAGAAAGCCAAGAGATGTTCCAAGAATGCCATCGCGCGCGTTCCGAGCTCCGAACGGCTCTAACTAACCAAAAGACAAATCAAATACATCAAACAATGATAGAAGAGTTACTTATCTATTTTTGGTTTTTTTTTTTTTGCTTAACCTTTTTTGGACTAATATTAAATGGGGGGTTATTGGGGTAATCAAGGGGCATATGGTGATGGGATTGGATCAACGCCCATGATAGTTGCTTCATAACTTGTGTCTAATACACTGGTTTTGGGATTAAAGGAAGATCCAGTTGAGTTGATGGCTATTGTCAAATCAGTTACAATTTTTGGATTTCTCAGGGTTGGCTCTTAAGTTTCCATGGAAGGATTTTGTATAGTGTGTGTTGGTAGGGGAGATATATCACAGTAGGATTCATCATTTGGGTCTACTAGGGTGTCCTTGGGTTTTGCGTTAGCGTGGGGCTCCGCCTGGGTTACTGTCAGACTCCCCTCTGGGCCCTTTGGGCTTGTTGACTTTGTGATTCTAGGGGGGGGGGGCTGGGTATTTTGCCTTTGGGATGTAGGACCCTTGTCATTACTGGGTGTTAGGTCTCTCCCCTCTGGGCCCGCTTTTCTTTTTGTACTTGTATTGGGTCGGTCCCTTATGGGTTGGCTCTTGGTGGGTTGATTCTTCATGGGGGGTGAGATGTCTTTTGTGCACTGGGCTAGGCTTGTGTCCTGCACATTGTTAGTCTTAGAATTATAGCGGAAGGTTTGGGTTTCGAGGAACTTACCGGAGATGGCGTTAAACATTCTAACTTGGATGTTGTCCGATTGGGCAGAAATTTTGCCTTTCCTATACAGGGTCGTTGATTGGCGTTGCTGCGTGGGGTGTCCTTGCTTGCGTCTCCCGGGGAAGGATACAATTTTCCATTCCTCTTCTTCATCACTATTTGTTTTAGTATTAGAGTAGCCTGGGTCGTCCTGTGCCAATGGTGAGTTGGGTTTTTGCCTGTGTGAACACCCTCTCAGAGTGTGACCTAGTCTACCACATCCTGTACATAGGACGTTCTCACCTTCATAGACAATCACTTGCTTGTGATCACCGATGGTGACAAATGTTGCGATTGGTGATTCCAGTGGAACTTGGATGTAGATTCTCGCATATCTCCCCCTTAGGTTGCTGAGGTGCACGTATCAATCTTGAGAAGCTTCCCAAGCTTCCTGCCAACTTTTTCTAGAACTTTTTTGTAATAGAATTCGGAGGGTAGCTGGGGAAGTCATACCCATATCGCAGTGAAGGATATGGTGACTTCTTGTAGGACAAATTTTGGTTCCCACCGTCTCACATAGAGCAAACTTCCGGATACGAACCATGGACCTTGGTGTATAGCCTTGATCAAATTTTCTTCCTTACCAAACTTGACTATGAAGAAGTCCCTTCTTAGGTCAATCAAGATTAACTGTTCGAATGGGTTCCATAGTTCAATTAATTTGGAGGAGATGATGTGGCATAGACCGGCCAAAAGGTTTAATGATGACTGAAAAGCGCCATGGCTCATATAATCTATTTTCTTCCTCTTGGGAGAGAAGGATTGGGCCTAGATTTTCCTTGCCCTTTAGATCAAATGTTGACTTTTCAAGATCCGATACAAAGTAGTCTGTTTGTAAGGTGTCCTGTTTGTCAAGAAGCATTTCTTTGTAGGAGTGTGTTTGGTTGGTATCTTACTCCATGTGGTTTGTATGCGATGGTTCCAGTGGTATGTTAGGTATTTTGGGTGTGTTATCCATTGGGTTGGGTGTAATAAGAGATGAGAGTCTCTCTCTAAAACTTTTTTTTGTTGTTCTTCCTCCTCTTCTTCCTCTTCATCATCGTCATCTTCTTCCCCCTTAATATCTTTCTGATATTCGAGTTAAATATTTGGTTTTTATTTTTTCCCAAAAATTCTAACGATGCCATACATTTTTGTGTCTTTTAAGCAGTAAATTTTTGGTTAGGAACTCAATAATTGTTCCAAGATAAACAATATCTGTACTTCAAAATCTTGCTTGAACATTGCATTTATATAAGCTCTTGCAGTTAAAAAATATACTCAAAGAACATGGTCGTGGAGTAATCTTAATTTATAATTTACGCGTTTTATTAAAACTTGTTATTATTTCATGAAAAATAAATAATACTATAATAGATGATTTTTGTGTGGTATTTTAAAATACTGATATGAAAAAAAAAGCGAGATAATTGAGACATTTTAGAAAGCTTAATTTTGATTCTATACAGTAGAGTAACTAAAATTAATTACGACCAAATCGAATCATTAGACACATTGTGAATCCAAATTAATTATAGTATGTTTGGCCAATCTAGTCAAAAATACTTTTTTAAGTTAAAAAGTACAAACTATTTATCATTAAACGTACATTTTTAAAAAATATTTATGAAAAAATAATATTTTTTAAAATAACTAATTTTAGAAGCTTGGCTAAAATCTAAACTAACTATTATAAGCTAGTTTAGTTTTCCATAGACTTAAAATAAACAAACAAACAAACAACTCCATTACCCTCGATACCTTTGGCTTATTGTTTCTTTAGTGTGTCAAATGGAGAAACTGAGGAAAATGGTGAACCAAATAGCCTATACACCGCCACAAGAAAGATTCTATACACTCTCCGCACTCCAACTCTCTCTAATACCTCTTCTCTCATTAGCTTCCACTCTCTATGGCTTCGCACTTCCCCTCCGCCATCGCCTTTACCAACTTGGTCTGCTTCACACAGACAGGTAAATAAATCTCCCTTTATTATGATTTTGCTTTATATGGGACTTTGTTTCCTTAAGATGTAGTGCTTTTTAACTGTAAGGTTGCCGGTGCCAGTGATTAGCGTTGGGAATTTAACTTGGGGAGGTAATGGGAAGACTCCAATGGTTGAATTTCTTGCACTTTGGTTGGCTGCTGCTGGAATTTCACCTCTTATTCTCACAAGGGGTACT